TCGGTTTAAGATATTCAATATGCCAAGATGCCATAATTTGGGGTAGTGTGTCCTGAACCCCATCACTGATAAGCCCAGGCTTGGCTAATTCTGAAGCCCATGCTCTATCCAATACAATTTTTTGGTCAAAATTTACAAAATACCTCATGAAAGGAAACGTTTAACAATTGGGAAATCCACAATAATTTATGATTTAATACTTGCGAAGACCTCTGAAAATCCGTAAGTATAAGAGATTTTTAGTTAGTAACACCCTATAAAATTGTATTTTAAAAAAGAATAATTTTCAAATATTTATCTAGTTTTTGAGGAGTTAAAATTAGGCTGTTAAAATGTATTTGGCTAAAGTTAATCAACTTTTATATTTAATTATAGTGTAAGGTTAGTGATGATATTTTTATATTTTAGATCATATACATATACATTGGAAGGCTAAAACCATAACAGATATTAAATGTTTTCTACTAGTTGGTAAAAAAGATATCATTAATTCACACATACTCTATAATAATCTAAGATACATACAATTAAATCATAATCCTTAATTTTACATAGATTGAGTATTTTATATTTGAGTAAATGCAACTATTTTGATATTTAGAACAGGGCATCAGAAAACTTGTCATGTTGGAAGTCAAACACACACTTACTTCCTCTAATTATGATCTTCCTCTTTCTTTGTTGCTATGCTTTCTAAGTACTATGGGATTCTAGAGAAGAGATTTTCACTTCAGTTTGTATAAAATTCATGAGAGAATAAATTCTACAATATGCTTAAAATATCTTGAGAAGTATAAAGGGGGAAACCTCTATAATCCTCATGGATTTACTCAGGGATTTTTAATGTGTTAATAAAATAATAATATGGAATCTACTTTAAATCTTTTTTGAAACAAAGTGGGAGTATAAATAAATAATCCAAGTAACATGGTAATTTTGCACTTTAGGTAAAAAGACTACAAGGGTTTGATCTTTCTTTTAGGCCTCGTTGTCCTGAAGTAATCTTATCCACACATGAAAAAAACTCAAAGCATTTGGATGACCTGGCGAAAATTATAGTTCTTGGTGGCAACTCTTGGAATAAAGCTCAGCTAATTTATTCGTTAATCACATGTTGTCCATTAGCTTCTAGTTCTTGGATTCCTTTAGATTAAATTCTAATGAATAATTTATCTTCATTTGATCGACAAAGGGACTAATACCTTCTACAAAATAGAACTTTTCCTTTTCCTTTTGAGATACTATATTCGTAAATAGTATATCTTCTAGTTGCTCAGAACTGACATATTGGAACTAATCAGGAACTAATTTGATAGGGCAGTTACTACCTAGAGAATTACAGGTCTACTGTGGGAAGACAGAAGACTGGTGGATTTCTTCACAATGAAATATTCTGGTGGAGAAGTGCCTTGTCACTTCTACTCATCACTGATTGGCTAGGATTAGCCCCACCCACACAAGAGCCAAGGGAATTCAGTCCTACCATATGGATTCAAGGGGGCAGGTGGGAGTAAGTTTCTCTACCTTTTTTATATTAACAAAGAATCTGGGTTATTCCTTTTACAGCTAATTTTTAATTTGGATTTGTCTGGTTATTTCTTTTTTTTTTTTTAAAGATTTTATTTATTTATTTGACAGAGAGAGAGATAGCGAGAGCAGGAACACAAGCAGGGGGAGTGGGAGAGTGAGAAGCAGGCTTCCTGCAGAGCAGGGAGCCCAATGTGGGACTCGATCCCAGGACCCTGGGATCATGACCTGAGCCTAAGGCAGACGCTTAACGACTGAGCCACCCAGGCGCCCTATCTGGTTATTTCTTAAAGATTACATTTAGACAAAATATTTTGGTGAAAATGCTACAATGATGATGTATCATTCTAATATAGACTTCTACAATTTTAAATTTTAATATTGCCTTTCTTCTAAGAAATGCCATTATCTTTTGGTTAGCACTCAAATGAAATATGAACATACTTTTTTTTTTACTTGAATTTATTCTATCTTATGCAAATTTTGAATGTTCTCGCCTGATTTTTTTTAAGTTTATTTACCTGTGTACAGGATAATAAAATTATATTCTTAATAATAAGAAAAGAAAGGGAACGTCTTTCTGTTTTGGCTGAAATTGCCCTAAGTTACTCATCTCCTGTACTGTACCTTGAGGTCTAATATTAATTTCCTTCTGTTTAATCCCATTATGTATATTTGTCTGACACAAATCCACTGACATAAATTGCTAAAAACAAACTTACTTAACATTTGAACTACTTAAAGTTTCATATTATTTTAGACACCTAGAAAAATAGTCTTCAGTTAAAAAAATTTAGTGTTTTTCTTACATATTTCTTTCTTTCTTTCTTTTCCACTCACCCTAAATTAGCAGCCTTTGTTTGGGTGGCCAATGATGGGGGGGAGGAGTCAAAGCTTCTCTCATCCCTAGGATGTTTCCTGAAAAATATTCCCCAATAATTGTAAATTTCTAAGGAAACCCTTTCTATTTATTTAGCCATTCTCTCTTCATCTTTCAGGTTCTCTTCACTTCAAATTATTTGATAGTTTCTTTTCCTTTAAATTTTGAACTGTAGTTTCTTTGACTTCCATCAGATGTTATTATATTAGTTCAATGCATGTTAAGTTTTTATGGATAAGGGAAGGGAGCTAATGTTCAAATTTTAAGTAATGTAGAAGTTTCATTAATTCCACTTACATTAGGTTGCCTTTTTTCTTTTTTAAAGATTTTATTTATTTATTTGAGAGAGAGTGTGAACAACAAGCAGGGTGAGGGGCAGGAGAAGCAGGCTCTCCACTGAGCAGAGAGCCACACAAAGATCTCCATCCTGGGACTCTGGGATCATGACTTTAGCCGAAGGCAGACACTTTACCAACCAACTGAGCCACCCAGGCGCTCCCATTGGGTTGCCTTCTAAATGAGCTTTTAAACATGTATATTCTGTTTAGTAAAGACAAGACATGGGTTTTTGGCTTGCATTCTCTCTAATGCCTACCTTTCCCTGATTTCTCTCCCTCCGTCTATCCTTCTCCCACTCCCTCCCTTCCTGCATTAGCTTTAAAGAGGAATGGTAACAGAAGAAAACAGAAGATCTCTAGCCAACTTGTGTCTTTTGTTTCTAAACCACTACTAGCAGCAGGATTAGTCATCACTCCCCCAGCTGCCCACCATGCTATTTAAATATTCCTCTTTGGGTATATTTTTTCCTGTGTTTCCTTTTCTGCTCCATAGTCATGACTGTGGAGGAAATGCTCTAGGCAATGCCTTCCACACATAACCACATAAATTATTTATTAGTTTTTTATTTGTATATCTGTTCCATACAACCTGTAAAGCCTTGCATTGCCTTGTTTATCAATTATTTCAAATGAAAGAACAGTCTGATAGTTGAAAGAGGATCATATCATTGCCTCATTTTGAATGGTAGAGAGTGTAAACCATTACAGGCCAATGAGAAAGTGTATTTTCTTTTAAAACACTTATGAGACATTGTTTTAGCAGTCTCCTTTGTTTAACATGTTCAGTGACCCATATTTGACTGGAAATTATTTAAAGCTACTTTAAATCAGTTTTGGGCTATGTTTTCTCTTTCAATTTGTATCAGTTCGATATATATTTTCTTGAGTGTTTTCCAGTCACCAAATACTGAATCGTACACTGGGAATGAATATGAAATGGACCCAGCTACCACGCACTTCATAATGTGGCTTAAATTAAACAGAGAATGGTTTCACAATAAATGGTTTCCTAATAAAAGCACGCTGTGTGCTGAGACCTAAAAGCTTGCTGTGTGTGTGCATTTAGGTTAATGGTTTAATCTCTCTGGACCTCATGTCCTCTGTGTAAAACGGAAAGGTTGAATTAAATTATATTTCACATTATCTAACACTATAAAATCATCTTATCCGAGAGTGTCCTGCTTCTGGGCCTGATCGCCCTCAGATCTGTCCTTTGCTTCTCTCCTGCTCTGCTCTGTACTATGAGGGTGCAGATAATCCTCTGCAGATTGAATTTTCCAGGCTTAGTATCAGCAGGATTAAGTCAGTTTTGGGAGACTGCAGGGCATGAGAAGGGAGAGGGGGAAATCAAGATACTCTCTCCCCTCAGCCTAGGATGGCTTCTCTTGCAGCTTTATCTGCTCTGTGGCTCCAGCCCCCACTATATCCAGATGCACAGTAATTTCTAGTTTCCATAGGGCTGTCCTGGCCTCTTGGTTCCAGTAATTGCATGTTTTCCCATGGTCCCTCCAGCTTCAGGATGATAAGGACTTCCTGCTATTGCCAATGTCCAGGGTTATTTTACAGTTCCCAGTGCAACTCTTAGCCTCTCCATTCTCCATGGACCAACTGTGCTTTCCATTCTTCTGTGAACACTGGACATGATCTCTGTTTTCGTAGCTAGACCATGACAGTCCACAGTGTTCACTTCCTATTTGCTCAAGAGCAGTGAAAGGGCTTTAAAAACTGAGGAAGAAAAACATAAGCATGGAAACATTAACTGGCCCAATCTAGTTCCTACAGTGGATATTGGCCTCACAAGAAATGTTTAATGTCCCTTCGGGTCAAATATTGAGGGACTTACAGGATCTACTTTTTTATTGAAGCTGCTATGTTGAATCTCCTGAAAGTTAAGGCCCATTGTAAATCAAGGTGGGAGAACTCCTTAAGGAAGAACTGCAAGGTTCTTAGGACAAATGACTTTATTATAGCCTCTACTTAAATCAAATGCATTACTTTTCCACCAAGAGTACTAATTAAAAATAAAATTATGGTGAAAAATATATTAGCAACTTAAAGTTTTGGTAAGAGAAAGAGATGTACAGAGCTCTTTTGCAGGGCTTGAACTCAAGACCCTGAGATCAAGACCTGAGCTGAAATCAAGAGTCGGACACTTAACCAACTGAACCACCCAGCCACCCCCAGGAATCTTTTTTAAAAGACTTGGCTTAGGCACTGTGCTCTTCTGACACTTCTTTTATCTCCATTGCCTATAGGTTGCTGAGATACTTTCTTCATTTCTAGCAGTTGCATCAGGAGAGGACAAGAATATAAACTGAGGTAATTTTACTTTAAAATGGTATGTAGTTACACTTCTCTTGTGGAGATATTCTTTAATTTGGAGATGAGATAAAAATGGACTTGTTTCCTCCCTCTCCCACATTTTGGATATAGTTGTAAGAAGGGGAGAAATTCATGGTGATTGGCTGACAAGGAAAATAATGGTACCATTGCTGATACATTGAGAGTCCCAGAGAGGGAACTAGGTGGGCATACTGAGAATGTCGGTGTCCTAGTTCCTTTGGCAGATGGTTTAAAACACACACCTGACAGCTTAAAATAACACAAATTTATTCACTCACAATTCTAGAGGCCAAAAGTCTGAAATTATTCACTGGACTGAAATCAAGGTGTCAGCCGGGCCATGCTCCTTCTGGAGGCTCTAGGGTAGAATTTATTCCTTGTCTATTCTGGCTTCTGGTGGCTGTGTCATTCTTTGGCTTGTGGCCACACCACTTCAGTCTCTGCCTCTGTGGTCACATTGCTTTCTCCTCTTCTGTGGTGAAATTTCCTTCTGCCTTCCTCTTATAAGAACACTTGTGATTGCATTTCTGGCCTACCTGGACAATCCAGGATAACCTCCTCATGTCAAGATCCTTTATCCTAATTGCACAGTCCATTTCACCATATAGGGTGATTTATAGGTTCAGGAATTAGGATTGGAACATATTTGGAGGCCTTTACTCAGCCTAGTATAGTGAGGTAAAGTGTATAGAGAGGCTGAAGATTTTATTTGTAAGTCTCTAACACTGTTATGAGACAGTGACTAAATCAGATATAACACCTATCCATAGGGCTAAGAATTTTTAAGAATTAGAGAATATTGATTACTTCTTAACATCCTGGATTGCATACTAGATATGCAAAGAATATACCCTTTGGGGTGGTTGAGTAAAAACACTATTTTATCAAAACTGATAGAGTCAATTTTAATATTTGTTCTGTGGATGTTGTAGAAAAGTGTGTGTTCTCTATATAATGTAAAGTTTAATCATGCCTGTGAATGATATTTTATAATTCTTACAATTTTTATAATTCTTTTGAAATTCTGTTTCATCTCCTTCATGTACCTGTTAAAAGTTAACAGTTATGTTAAAAAAATTTTTTTTAAGATTTATTTATTTATTTTAGAGAGTACGCGTGCAGGGGGAGGGACAGAGGGAGAGGGAGAGGTAGAGAATCCTCAAGCAGACTCTCCACTGAGCACAGAGCTCTACACAGCACTTGATTCCAGGACCTGAGATCATTACCTGAGCTGAAATCAAGAGCCGTATGCTTAACTGAGCCACCCAGGCACCTCAAGGTTTATGTTAAATTTTAAGTGAATTTTTCCTTTCTTTCCTAATATATTTTATGTATTTCTCTGCTATATGTGTTTTTCATAATTGTTATATTTGCATTTTGCATTGTGACTTTCATAGATGTATAATAATCATTTTATTCCATTTCATATTTTTTTGCCACATACATGATTCTTTGATTCTAATTCCTACCTTCCTGCTCCTCTGACTTTTTAGTATCCATTTTGACTGGAGATACTTTCTGAACCTCTTTATTTCCAACATTTCTTTGTTGATTTGTTTATGTGTATGCTTCTCTTAAGAAGCAGTGACTGTGATTTCTCTTATGATCCAATCTGATGGTATTTTCCTTTTAAGTCATTTAGATTTACCATAAAAAGTGATGTATGATCTTCTTTTGCCATTTTATTTTTAAATTTCTGGTTTATACTTATTTTCTTCTCCCCTATGCATTATATACATCATTGAGGATTTTCTTTTTTCCTTTTATTCTTTTCCTACAAGTATTTGTAGAATGTACAGTAGTACATTTGTCTCATTTGTGTTCTATTGTATTTAGCTTTAATATATGCATAGTTATAAATGCATACATTGTATACATATTCTATACATATTCTATACATGTATAACTTAATACATACACAGGTCAATAGACAAAATACGTAATTTATTTTTTATTTTTTTAAAATATTTTATTTATTTGACAGAGGGAGACACAGTGAGAGAGGGAACACAAGCAGGGGGAGTGGGAGAGGGAGAAGCAGGCTTCCCGTGGAGCAGGAAGCCCGATGCGGGGCTTGATCCCAGGACCCTGGGATCATGACCTGAGCCGAAGGCAGATGCTTAACGACTGAGACACCCAGGCATCCCCAAAATATGTAATTTTTATTGAAGTATAATTGATACACACTGTTGCATTAGTTTCCTATATATATGTATAATTTTAAACTAATGACAAAAATATGATTACTATTGATTCTCCTATATCAGATGAGACTCGTAATACTTACTTTTCCCTTTTCTCCTCCCTCCCAACATGTATTAATTAATTAATTGAGGTTTATTTAAATTCTTTGATATTAAGACTTCCTTTTTTTATATTGTGTATTTTCTTTCCCAAGAAATATTTCTTTCTTTTTTTTTTTTTTAAGATTTTATTTATTTATTTGACAGAGAGAGACACAGCAAGAGAGGGAACAACAAGGAGGGGGAGGGGGAGAGGAAAAGGGAGAAGCAGGCCTCCTGAGGAGCAGGGAGCCTGATGCGGGGCTCGATCCCAGGGTAGGATCATGACCTGAGCCGAAGGCAGACACCCAGTGACTGAGCCACCCAGGCACCCCCCAAGAAATATTTCTGATAGATAAATTGTATAGCGTAGCTGTGTTAAAAACTACTGATTAAAATTTAATGCTAATTGTAATGGGTGCATTACACATCACCGATTTTTTAATACCATATCTCCTCTTGAGGTTTTATAATTTTTATGTATTCTTTTCATCAGTTGTAGTATTTTTCAGATATAAGTACCTTTTTCCCCAAAAAAGGGTCAATGGAAATTTACACTTTCTGATTCCTTCTCACTTTAATAAAAGCTTGGCTAGGTTAAGATTTTTTCACCCTAAATCTTTTCTCTGCAAAATTCAGTAGACCAGTCTTACTCAAATAATGTGATTCTTGGGCCATCTGCCTCAGAATCTGTGGAGATAAGGTCCAGGAATACGCATTTTAAACAAGCTTTTGAAGTAATTTCACATTTTCAGAACTATTTGCATAGAAATCACTCTTGACACCACCAAAATTTAGTATTATAAAAAGAAAGTGTAATTTTAACTCCAACCGTTTTCCTTTTGCATATTATTTGTAGTTTCTGCCTATACGGCTTTTTATTATCCTCAAAAACCATAAATTTCAAAGATATTTGTAGCTGTGGGCTATATACTACATTGGTTTTGCCTGATTGGCCCTTTCAAAATAGATAGAAACAAATATTTCTTTGGCTTAGCATATTTTTTTCTATTCCTTCCTGATTATTACTTTCTTCCCCTTCTTCCTTCTTTATGTACATATTGGATCTTTTCCATTTATTGAACATGTCTTTTTTTAAATACTTTTTATTTGAAATCATTATAGATTCACAGTGTATTACAAAAATAGTACAGAGATGGGACGGCTGGGTGGCTCAGTCGGTTAAGCGTCTGCCTTCGGCTCAGGTCATGGTCCCAGTGTCCTGGGATCGAGCCCCGCATCAGGCTCCCTGCTCAGCGGGGAGCCTGCTTCTCCCTCTCACTCTGCCTGCCGCTCCCCCTGCTTGTGCTCTCTCTCTCTCTGTCAAATAGATAAAATCTTAAAAAAAAAAAAAATAGAACAGAGAAATGTCCTGTGTGCTTCATCCATATGCCCCTGATGTTATTCCCTACTTAACTGTATTACAGTATCAAACCAGGAATTTGGTACAGGGAGTATGCATAGTTCTGTGCCATTCTGGCACATGCACGGATTTGTGTGATCACCACCACCATCAAGATACAGAACTATTCTATCTACACAGAGATCTCCCTCTCTTCATAGTCATGCCCCTGACCCCTTACCATCCCTAGCCCCTGGAAACCACTAACTGGTTCTCAACTGATGTAATTTTGTAATTTGAGATTGTTATATAAGTGGAATCAAATAGTATGTGACTTTTGGAGATGGGCTTATTTCACTCATCGTAATGCCCTTGAGATCCATCTGAATTGTTGCAGGTATTAACAGCTCATTTCCTTTAATTGCTACATAGTGTTCCCAAGGACGGATGTACCACAGTCTAGCGAGGCTCTGAACTTCTTTATTATCTTCAACCGCATTCTCCATCCTTTTAGTTCTCAAAGAATTTCTCAAGTTGACTTTGCAAATTACCCACCCACACCCTTTTTCTTTTAAAGGACTCAATTTAGTGTTCATTGTTGCTGTTTGCTTTCTAAATTTGATATACACATTTTTTCGCTTAGGAAGTTCCTCTTAATGATTCAGATGTTTCTTTAAAAAGGTTTAGTGATTATCAAATCTTTGTAATGCAATTGTAACTAATATTAATATATTGTTGAGAATATAAATTATATATTTTTTAAATTTTTTATTGTTATGTTAATCTCCATACATTACATCATTAGTTTTAGATGAAGTGTTCCATGATTCATTGTTTGTGCATAACACCCAGTGCTCCATGCAGTACGTGCCCTCCTCAATACCCATCACCAGGCTAACCCATCCTCCCACGCCCCTCCCCTCTAGAACCCTCAGTTTGTTGAGAATATAAATGATATTTTTAAAAGTGTTTTTTGTGTCTCCCATATAGTAGAGTGCCTTCCAGGCACAGGTCTGGACTCGTACCACTCTGTACAAATGCAGACTGCCTTGTTAAAGCTGGAGCACCTTTTGATGAGAGCCGTCTGTGAGCATATTTACTGCTAGGTGGATTAACAAGGCTGAGGTTCATTAGACAAAAGACAGATGGCTAGTCAGTGAGGTGAGTAAACATAAACACCAGGTGGGCAAGTGATCACCAGCTAGGTTTTTAGGATTCTGCTGCTTTTCTTTTGTTATCTGAAGGTTTGGTAAACCATCTCTTCAACCTGTAGCAGGTGGAATTAACTGAAACTATTATCCACCACTGGAATGATTATATTTGAAATAACCAAGATTATGCAACGTGAATGG